GTGTTGGAGATCATGCGGAGCTCAAGGCACGTATGCTCACTTACGGTGGGATTGCCCGCACAACAGTTCTGGGGGGGACGTCACCCGTCTCATTTCCACCATTAGCGGTATACATACACACTTGGGCCCCTGGCTGTGCCTCTTCCATCTTAACCCCCTTTCAATGCGCTCATATAAGAGATCGGTAATTCCCTTTATGCTCGATGCAGCGAAAGCTCTTATCCCCACACACTGGCGCTCAAACCAAACACCCACGGTGCCAGAGTGGTTGACACGGGTGGATCATTTGCGTCTGATGGAAGAACTCCATCACTCTAGTAAGGACACATATAGCACTTTTTACACGCCCTGGGCAAGATGGCTGCACTTTAAAACTCAGGATGAATATATCTCAATGCTATCCGCGTGATATGGTCTGCTTTAAAAACTGTTATTTTATTTTTCCTATTAGTAACTCTGTAAAACTGGCTATTGTCTCTTACCCTAACACACTATGCTTCCGGTAAAATGATTGTCAAGTTCCATTGAGGGGTTCCATCACTGTACTGTTATGCACTGTTTGGCCACATGCCACTTCAATAAACATTTTAATATGGAAATTAACTGTTTACATTACGATAATGACGGAAGGCCAGAGGAACCGCATCCAGAGTCTCCCACCTTTAGCAGATCTTCTGAAGAATCTCTGGATGAAGAGCCCATGGCCCTTGATCCAGACCCCGATGACTCAGACAACCCACCTGCCATTCGTCCATGCCTGGAATGTAAAGCGTGGACAGAGCTGGAACACGATTCTACAACCAGCGGAATATATGAGATACCTCCCCGAGGAGTGACACGCACCTCCCCGAGGAGTGACACGTGCCACGACCATGCCATTGTCCGACCGAACCCTGACAGGGTGCGTGCACAGAAGAACTGTCCAACGAAGAAGGATAGAGGATTGGTAATTTAGGCTCCTCACTGGTCCAGTGGCCCTAAACAGATCACTATCTGGTCCTCCACCCCGCAGCTAAGGCTAGCGTCCGTCACCACAAACATCCAATGGCCCAGCAGAAAAGACATCCTGCTTTACAGCACTTGAGAGCAGAGCCACCACACCAGATAGACCAGGGAGAATTACTTAGCCACATCTGCCTGTCAAACAACAACGGGGACTTATACCAGGGAAAGGAGGAGTTGTCACTGTAAAAACAAGGGCAGTTCAGAGCACACAGGCCCTCCTGAACAAGGAAACCAGCAGACCAAGGAACTCACACACAGGTGCGCAGCGACTTCCGAAGGCACAAAACCCAGACAAAGCACGGCCTGGGCCCTCCGACGCCTTTCTGGAGGCAAAAACACCCTGGCCTGAATCACGTCCAAGAGCAGGTCCAAAAGATCCCAAACAGAGAGATGGCACCAGTAGGTGGTGCAGGACATCAAGACCTGAGTGAACACAGTAACCACCAGATCGACCTCCAGGTAGAAACGAGACCCTTTCGGTGTAGGAAGTCATCCTCATTAGCCACAAACAAGATCCCCTGATGTCACAGTAGGGAAACCACTGGGGCCAACATCTACAAACTCCATGCAGTTAGTGCCATGGCTCAGAGTTGAACCAGGGACCCCTGTTCTGGAAGGCAGAAGCACTAACCACTAGGATTCCATGCTGACTGAACAAAAAAGAGCTCCAAAAAGCTCCTTCCCCACAGCAAGGCGGACTCATATTGAACTTCCGAACCTAGGCGAAGACTGAATATCCGATATTCAGTCTTCGTCTAGGTTCGGAAGTTCAATAGCTTATTTCTAGTGTAAAGGTGACACTGGGGGTCTTTTGGACCCCCAGCATCACCTTAAAGAGTACCTGTCACCACCATCTGCTATCACATGGGGGGGCTTGTAAGCCTCCCTATGTGATAGCAGTCAAAGTACAGTAAAAAAAACAAAAAACAAAAAACAAACACAGTTTTTAAAAGTAAAATAAAATAAATCTAATAATAATAATAAAAAAATGTTAAAAGTCCCCCGCGAGCACGCACATCGCCATGTAAACATGTGTCGGGTGCGTCTACGTATGAAAACGACGAACGCGCTACACATGTTGGGTATCGCCGCGTACGCCGGATTGAGAGCAATAATTCCAGGGCCAGTATTTTGGGGTATCTCTAAACTGATGACCTGTGGGGGTTTTTAAAGCGTATTCTATGGACTTTTTGGGGTACTGGAGTTTTTCGCCGTTTCACGGACGCATGCAATTTTTAACCTGGGCATGTTGGGTATCGTTTTACTCGGTGTAACCTCATGTTTTATATTTAAACAAATTGGTATTTTGTTGTGTTTTGGGGCATTTAATTAAATTTGTCACTACATTTTGGGGTTTAATAAGGAGTTGCGCTAATATTGCGCAACATAAAAATTTGCAACTACCACCATTATATTGTATAGGGTCTTGGCATTCAGAAAATATATAATGTGTGGGGGTTTAAGTCATTTTGAGGCCTAAAATGTGAAATATAACATGGGTGCAAAAAATGAACAAAAGGCCTCAGTCATGAAGGGGTTAAAAAGCGAGCCAACTACGGATCCACAAATGTGCAAGATGGTGCAAGCTTTCACACAGAGGGAGGCTCCACAGTGGGCTCAGGAGACTAGGGCTTCAAAAAAATCTTTCATCCACCGGAGAAGGGCAGTTGTCAGATTACCGACCCTTATCCGAAGCACCTGAAGGTGACATTAGGGGGTCCTAGAGACCCCTAATGTCTCCATAAAGAGGACCTGTCAGTGTGCCTTTGCTATTATATAGGGGGATTGTTATCCCCCTATATAATAGCAATAACAATAAGTGCAAAAATAAACAAATAATAATAAAATATATACAACACCAAAAGAAAGCTCTATCTGTCCCCAAAAAAGGGTATAAAATTAATTTCAGTACAGTGTTGCATGACGGAATAAATGTCAGTCAAAGTACCGCAGCGCTGAATACTGAAAAATGGCCTGGATGGGAAGGGGGTTTAACACCGCGGATGTCAACTGGTTAAGGAACACCATGTCTTCGAAGGGCAAATCAGAATTTTTTTTTACATCTTGGACAGGGACCCATCCAGTTTAGGGCATTTCTCGGAGACTCCAGTCTTCTTCCTTAAAGTGATATTAAAGCCTTCTTTGTAAAAAAAAAAAAATGTTTCCTACAAGAAGACCCACCTATGATTGAGGCTCTTGCCGTTTCTCTTTCAAAGTTTTTAACTTCTCGTTTTCAAGTGGGTCCCCGCAGTAATCTTCCCCCTGCACGGGTGCCTCCATCGGCTAATGCAGGCACCCGAGGGCGCTTGTGCCTGCAGTAGCTATGTGCGTCCATAGACACACGCAGCCCTGTGGCAGGCCACGCTCCTCCTCTCCGCCCAACAGTTTGATTGATGGCAGAAGGAGCCTATGGCTCCTTTGCCAACAGTATCCTCCCCCCGCAACCAGGAAGTTCAGGGAAAGGAGGATCACTTCAGGACCGGCGGCGGGGACGAGTGTCCCTGACAGGTACGTGTGGTGGGGACTGGGGAAGAAAAAAAGCTACTGGGCCGTTTTTACCCTAATCCAGATAATGCAGGTAAAAAATCCGACCCTTTTTTGACTGCAAGCACTTGTACAATCTATCATGGAATACAGGATCCACCTGATCTTCTTTTAGTCCCAGGCTATCCAAGAATGCCTTGAGTAGCTCATTTATTATTGGAGAGAGGAATACCTATTGGATTTGATTTCCCCTTCCTCTCCAGAGTCTTCATACCCCCCTCCTCAGAGTCTATGAACAAGACTGAATCATTATTGGCTCAATCAAAACTAGTACCGCTTTCCGAATAAGCAGCTGGAAGATTTAAAGCTGCAGATGGGACCTGGCAAGGGGGAGCAGGACGCTGGAAGGCCTGCATAGTCTTGAATGATAGAGCAAAATGACTGAAAGGGGGTTACCATTTCCTCTCTCATGCAATCTAATAGGCCTTTGAACATTCCTGTTGATTCCTCTGTTATTAGCTTTCCCAGGCAAGACAAAGCATCTTTTTGTACGAGGAGACAAGTTTAGCGTTACAAGAGGCACAACTTTTGCTCTTCGAATGCGTGCTGAGAGGGGTTGGCAAAGAAAAGAGGACAACATATGCACAGCTCACCTGGAAATTGGGTCCCAAGGGAGAAAACCAAGGGGAGGCATGAGCGAAGAGTCAACCGGAAAACTCTGCTGGAGTCGTGACACAGAAGGATGGTTGCCACTCCAAAAGGGGGAACCTCAGGGCTCTGACCCATCTGAGTCACCTTAAAAAAAAGGACAGGTGGGGGGACTGTCCTGGGTTACCCCCCGCACAAGCGTAACCCCAGGATCGCTGTCCCTGCTGACTGGGATCGCATGATGCAGAAGGCCCCTGCTACTAGCACGCACGCCTTTACAGAAAATAACAAACGCTGCGATGCTCCTGTTAGGCAGAAGGAAACACAAAAAACTGAGGTATGCTGCTGTTCTCTTTTTATTTTGTGTGGATGATGTGTTTCCTGTTTCAGGAGGGAGGAGCCTCTCTCTCAGATGCTGTCCTGGTTAGATGACTTGAGCAACATAAAATTAAAAGAAAAAAATAAATAAAGATTCCCAGCAGAGAGCTAGGTCCATACTGCTCATCGTTAGGCAAAAAATTGAGATGCCTCTAACAAGTGGGGGTTTGAGCGGCCAGCAGGGGCCGCCCCCAGGGCTGTGCTTTGTTATTTATTCTGCCGAGCGTCTTACTCCTACAGGTAGCGGTATAACCCTTCCAGTAGATGAAAATTCAGCTGTGTCCTTCAATGAACAGAAGATAAATATTTTAAAATATTTTGTATACATAAACTTTTTGCTGGAAAGTTAAGCAATGTCTTCCAAGGCCTTTACATATTTATTCCCATAATATACTGAGTTTTTTGTGCTTTGTCTAGAGTTCCCCCTTTACACTGTTACCATACTTGGCAGGTTCACATTTTCATTCAATTTTTATTTTTTTTACCGTCTCGATTAGTTTCCGGTTTTCAATGAGCTGCCTCTTGTCTTTGATCTCATTGGATGCTACCCATGTCTTTATTTGGTCCCGCAATCGCTGTTAATAAGTATATGAATATATTCAGTAAGTAAGAAAACAAACATCAAAAACTGTCTCAAAAAGAAAATCATGCATATATAGCATATAGTACAAAGAAAATAGACAGACACTCTCATATGTTGCCTCTAGAGCACAAAGCTCCCAATTAAAATATAGCATTGCCTGTCCTTCAGACTATGGGCACCTAGTAGGTTAATATTAAAGGAAATCTGCCTGTAAAAAGAAAGCATTTAGATATTTAGGTCTCTAATTAAATTAACATTGCGCTAAGGTTGTCAGGATCTTGAGTAATGTTACAATAGAAAATTAACTGCTCTATTATTGCAGCTATTTAGAATAATAACCTGCACTACTTACAGCTTTAACTTCTATTCTGCTATAAAAAGTTTTCATCCTTCGTGGATGAGATTTTAAAATACATTTCCTGATGGTCTCCTGATGTAGTAGGCTAAAGGATGTTCTGTGAAACGCGCTGCATTATCCCCATTGTACTGGAAATACAGGCATCTATAGTTATATTTGATACCAACTGTACGTACAAAACTATGTATGATACCGAACTTGATGGTATCTATGTGCTGTAATGAGAAAGCACAAAAAAACAGGGGTTTCATATTGATATCACTGTATAATAGTAAAAACAATTAAAAAAAACTAAAATCGAGTACACACACACACACATATATATGTGTGTGTATGGGTGTGTGTGTGTTATATTATACATACTGCATTGTGCCAAGTGTAAAGTTTGGTGGAGGGGGGGATTATGGTGTGGGGTTGTTTTTCAGGAGTTGGGGTTGGCCCCTTCGTTCCAGTGAAGGGAACTCTTAAGGCATCAGCACATAAACTTTGTGGAAACAGTTTGGGAATGGCCCCTACCTGTTCCAACATGACTGCGCACCAGTGCACAAAGCAAGGTCCATAAAGACATGGGTAAGCAAGTTTGTGGTGGAGGAACTTGACTGGGCTGCACAGAGTCCTGACATCAGCCCGATAGAACACCTTTGGGATGAATTAGAGCGAGCCAGGCCTTCTCGTCCAACAGCAGTATCTGACCTCGCAATGCGCTTCTGGAGGAATGGTCAAACATTCCCATAGACACACTCCTAAAGCTTGTAGACAGCCTTCCCAGTAGAGTTGAAGCTGTTATAGTGGCAAAGGGTGGGCCAACTCAATATTGAACCCTATGGACTAAGACTGTGACGCCATTAAAGTTCATGTGCGTGTAAAGGCAGGCGTCCCAATACTTTTGGCAATATAGTGTATACATATACATACAGTATCTATCTTTATAATTGTTTGCCTATTCACAGCCTACCGCCCTTAATTCATAAATATGAATCATTTAACCCCTTCATGACGGGAGACGTACACTTTGTGCCTATATGACTGGCCACATACACTGTACGTGACGAGTTATATCAGGCTCTATAATGCCGGTAACTGCTCATTCTCAGCGGTTACCAGTCATTAATGAATGCCTCAGTATTGAGGCATTCATTGATGAAATAGTTAAGCTTTTGTAAAAGCTTATTTCTTTCATTAATGAAAGAATGAAGCCGTTACATGCAAATACGGGAGCGCTAAATAGCGCTCCGGTATTTGACAGCTGAAAATAGCAGAGAGGCAGCAGAGTGACTCACCTCCCTGCTATTTGTTTTGACAGCTCCATAGACTGGCCCGATGTTTATGAAGCTATGTGATACATCTCAAGCAAAGAGATACAATGTATCTCTTTGCTTGAAATGTATCATTTCTGATCGTCTAGGCACGATCAAAGAGCTTTAGTGAGATCTGAATCTGACATGCTGTCAGGATCAGTCTCTATGGTTATTATTAGCTGTTCCTAAGTTTGGAGCAGCCTAATAGCCACAAAAAATGTTTAAAGTTAATTTATCAAGCAGTCATAGTGACTGCTTGATATAAACCTGACAAAAAAAAAGTTTGTTTTTTTAACTTTTTTTTTCAAAGTATAAAAAAATAAAGTGTAAAACAAAATGAGGAAAATGAAAAATTATATATAAATATATTTTTATACTATAATTATTATAAAACATTTTTTAAAAAAATAATCAAAACTTGTGAAAAAAGTGTTTTCTTCTAGTTTTTTTCCTCATTTTTTATATTTGATTAAAACTAAGTGAGGCGTTAGGTACATGTTTGATATAATTATATAGCCCTATCTGTCCTCTAAAAAACAATATATCATATGTGTGGGTACATTTAGTAAGAAAGTATATTACTGCTGTGGAAGAATCATACAACAAAAATGTAAAAAGCGTGTCAGTCATTTATGAACAGAAACTGAAAACTAGCTCAGTCATGAAGGGGTTAAACAGCAAGTTCTAATAATTGCATATACTTGCAGTACATATAGATTACATAGCAGTGTTAATCCCCAGGGCTTGCGGCTGTAGAATTTACCAACGTGTTTCGCTTAAATAAGCTTAGTCAGGGGGTTTATATATGGCAACCTTTTGGTATAGAAAACATTTGTCAATATAAACATATGTTGACCTTATTTATCATTGTAATTTCCTAGTTTTTAGAGATACAATTAATTTGAATAACTTACAAAGAAAACAGTAAACAACTGTCACCGGAGATCTGGAACAGCATCAGTTAAGGACTACGGCTGTGCAAAGGACTGTTATTTGAAATCATGTGTGTCGCTCATACAGTTTTCATGGTATCCGATTTACCTCACTCCTTTTTCCCAATTACTTTGCCACTGATGTTGTCTTGTTTGGACTTTGTTCTTGTATATAGATACATAGCTCATCATTCTTAAATTGATCCTTTTGCAGGGTTACCCCTTTCCTGCGGATATCTGGTGGTTCTGATTCCTGGATATTCACCTCTCTATGGTCCCAGGTGATGCATTGTACCTACTCCTCTCTGGGGACCTCTCCATATAGCTGGCCTTTGCACAGCAGTAGTCCTCAACTGATACTCTTCCAGATCTCTGTAGACAGTTGTTTACAGTTTTTTTTTTTTTTTGTAGGTTAATCGAATTAATTTAATCTATGAAAATTAGCAAAAACTAGGAAACTACAATGATAAATAAGGTAAACATATGTTTATATTGACAAATGGTTTCTATACCAAAAGGTTGCCAAATATTAATCCCCAGACGATATTTTATCTTTGCAATGACTATATATGTGGTGAATATTGTACTTATATCTATGTACTCGATTTTATTTTTTCTATTGTATAAATGTTTGAACTATAAACATGCAGTGATATCAATTCCTCATATGAACCCCTATTTTTTGTGCTTTCTCATGAACTATATTTAAAGAGGGACGAGATCATGTATACCCAAGTTGTGCTTGTCAGTCTACGTTAGGAAGGGTGATAAATTGTTGAATTATCTATGTGATGTAGCTGGTCCAGTATATGCTGGAGTTAGCACTCAGTGTTTGCTATGAAATTGTTATCTGACGATATACTGCATCAACACTGTAAATGTTTTTACAGAAATATTTTAATAATGAATAAAATTGGACTGAATCAATTCATATGTCATTGTTGTACCATTAAATTCTGATTTTAGATTTGTTATGTTTACATAATTTGGAAGTGGTACTTGGGCCCACCATTCAATATACACCTAAGTACTGCTCTGGAGCTGGTAAAATGAAACAAAGTGCCAGAATTGCCAAGCATCCAGTGCTGAATGAATACTCCGCATCTGCAACATATATTTGTAAAGTACACTATTTTTGCACAACTTCAGTTTGAACACTAATCTTACTTCACATGTTCTAGATCTGTGCATTACATGATGTGTGAACAGATAAAAACAAACCTGTAGTTTCTTTATCTCCTTCTTCAAATCTGCTTCATATTTTTCTTTCTGGTTTGCATTTGCTGCATTGTGTAGCTATTTGAGAAAAAGGATTGTGAATCACTGTTATTATTCACTGAAAATGGATGATACTGAAAAACAATGTCATAAATAATCTACATATGACAAATAATCAGCACCCTGACATGCAAACCCAACAGCATATCTATATTGTGTAAATAGCATGCCCCAATTCTGATGCAAAATATCACATTATACAAACACCATGTATTTCCACCTTTGCAGTCAAACTTAAGCTATATGTTTATTATTCGTTCCCATTCACACAGCATACTTAAATATGTTTTTAAAATATATTTGTTACCCTTTTAGTTTTTTCTTTGGAGATGGATTATACATAGTATCCTAAAGGCAGCATCCAATGCTTTAAAAAAAAAAGCATGGAGATTGTCAGAACTTTTGATATAAAAGATGTATGAAATTAACCTCCTGCCGTCCGCCCGTTAAGAAAAAACGGACGGACAGCAGATTCGCATCAGCGGGTTGCCGTTTCCAGACAGCATGTTTCCTGCGCGCACGGGCAGGAAAGACCCGCTCGTTTTTACAGCCGTTAACGGCTGTTTCACTACAAGCTAGTGAGAAGAAGCTGATGAAGCAGATCTTTGCTTCATCTGCTTCTTTTGGGGTCCCCAGGTGACATTAGGCGACTATATATGCCTTCGCTAATATATAGGGGGATTGAATCCCCCTATGTAATAGCAATAACA